TTACATCAGTTAAATTTTCAGGTTTAGATGTTTCCTCGCTAGCTCTCACTTCTTTTCCATCTTCAGGTTTTGAAGTTTCCATTGGTGTAGTCTGGGCCTGATCCTCTTGAGGAGCAGTCTTACCCTCTGTTGTTTCCAAGACATCTTTAGAGAAAGATGTTTCATCAATATCGGCAGATGGTCCAGCAGTTTCTTTTGAATTGGTGTCTCTGTTATCATCGCTATTAAAGAATACATCCTCAATTGGCATTTGAACAAAGTGCAGTATGCATTGTGCTTTAGTTTTCGTAGCAACATGCTCCGCAATCTCATTCCAGTTTTCTTTATAAAGTTCAAGTGCCTCAAGAAGGAGGAGGGTTTCCTGATCTGTCCACTTGCCACCACTAAGACCAGAGGCCTCACCAGGTTCCATGAGAATGAAATCCGAAGAAGACATGCCAGAGTCAAACCCGGTTGTTAAAGCAATCAGTACATAAGTCAAAATCAGCCTGTCAAATACAAAACATAATTACATCATAAACAAATGGAACAATAATTTAATAAATATATAAACAAAACTACTAAGTTAGTTATTCTTTCCATTTTGATCATTCACACCATTGGCTTTTCGTTGCAAGTAAACAGATTGCACTGGTGGTGCAAACAATTTATGCTCATTTCTTATTTGTTGGACAACAAGCAGTAGCTAAAAAGGTCTGGATTTCCCATTTTATTTACCACTTGGCTTGAGCCGAAGGTGTCAAATAAATTGATTTTGTAGTAGAATTCCCTCTTACTCTCTTATAAAAATAGGACTAGTGAAAAATGAACATATACATAAAAATACATATATCAGTACAATGCAGGCAAGATTGAAACATTGCCACAAGAACACTCAGAAAGAATTAGTGCAGTTATTTTCTCTTCATAGTGTACTAAATAATTTGAGGCTTAGACAAGTATTTATCAGTTAGTATTCAATAACTCACCTGCTTCTGGCAATGATAGCGCTTCCGAGAGCAATCAGCTGAACAAGAGTTGCAATGGTACTCAACCGATGGCCCCTCAGGTGTCATCAAGTCCTCAGCAAGCGCAGATTCTGGAAGAAACCCAGACAGTAAAGAGGAAGTTGAAAGGTTAGACCTTGTAACAACGTGTGGGTGTGATTCAATTTCCTCAAAGTGGAACAATTTTTCAAGCAAAGAATCCTTATTGGACATCCCATCCCCATTGGCTTTGGGTACAGCCGAACCAGCTGGAGGGAATAGATGAAAGTTAATCAAACCCCAGTAGTCCAGGAACTCCAATACTTCCTGCCTTGCATCCAAGTCACCAATGTCAAGATCTTCCAGATTTTTCAACTCAATCTGCACACTTGGATTTGCATGAAATTTCTTTATAATCCAATTACGAATCTCCATGTATAAATCAGGGGTTCGATCTGGGGATTTCCCATTAAAGAAAGAAGGCAAGATACTCTCCTAGATGGTGAATTTTTGTCCATGAAAACCATCCTGTGAGTACAAAGAGAGGATGAGTACAAAGACTGACAGCATCCGAAACACCAAAAAATCTAATAGTTCAGTATCTTCTTTTTCGATCTTTATAAAACAGATAAGAGCCTTCCAATGAGGCAAATTTATTTAGAGCCCTAGCTTGCACTCCGCTAATGAGGACTAAGATTAACATTCTTTTTCTAATTTGTGTAATGGCGTAATCGTGTATTTGTGGGAAATTTTTATTTTCATTTTTTTTGATGCTGTGTCGTATTTTACTTATTTTTATCAATGTTGTGTTTAATATGCCAAGGTCTAATTCTCATGCATGGCTGATAAGAAATGAGCAGAACAAATTGGATGGATACTTATTATCATTTCCTTTGTGTTAGCATTCATATAGCATATAGAAACAAATTAAGAAATAAAACTTCCAAATTAACTATTCAAGAAAAACAATTCGATCTTTTTCTTTTTTTTTCGGTTTACACAATTAAGACAAAAACTTCAATTCAACCCGAATTGAACACCTATATTAACAAACAAACAAAAATTCACATAATTTCTCAATTCACTAGCTCCCACTTAAAGAAGTAACACTAAAGTTGCAAACGATAAAGTTCACCTTTCCTTCCCTTTCCTGCCCACTTCTCATCAACCAACAAGGGGAAAAGGGGGGAAATAGAAAAACTCACCGCAATGATTAGGAACAGCATGCGCATTAATGTCACGAGATATAATAGCCTCAAAATCAGCCTCAATCTTAGCTTCCAAAGCCTCCCACTCTTCACTTGCCTTATTCAATTCCTCCAAATCTTCCGCCTTCACACTTTGTTTCACCGCTCTTGCCCCAAGCTTCGCGCCATCCGATCCCAAGCTCAAACCCAAGACAACGTTTCCACTAGGCGCCCCTTGGCGAGCCCTGGTTAAAGGACCGTAATGGTTGACCGAGGGTAGGAGATCAAGCTTGACTTCTCTCGAGTAACCCGTTTCGACGGCGTTGATGAAGAGCTCGACCCGGAAAGCGAATTGGCTTTTCTCTTCAGCGCTCCACCTCGACGGCGAGTTGATGCCGACTCCGGCTCCGCTGAGCTCGGCCCCGCCGGTGAGTTACCCGCGTCCCGCCGTTTCTCCTCCATCACGGGTCGCGGGGTTTGATTTTATTGGGGGGGGGGGAAGGGGTTTCGGTCGGTTCAGTGTGAATTTTGGTTGATTTGAGCTAAAAAGTAGTGTGAATTATTGTAGTTATAAATTGGGCCGAATTTGGATCGGCTTAGTTGTTGAGCTGCTACTACCGGCCCATAGTGACATTACATGTTATTAATCATACTTAAAATTTAGGATAAACTACACAAAAAGTCCTTAAATTATATTCAAATGATCTTTAACTACTTAATTATAAATTAGAAATAGTATAGATTTAATTCATGTATTCCAATTTAATCATTTTTAGTTTTTTCACTTTTCAAAACTAAAGATTTAGTCTCAACCCAATCAGTAACGTTAAATGAAATTATATAGTATTTGTATTAGTTCATCTTCTCTTCTTTGATGCTTTTAAATGCTTGTAATTTAGTCATATTACCTATATTACTTGTATTAGGACTAAAATTTCAAATATTAAAGGGATTAAAATTGACTAAATTAAAGTATATGGATTAAATACATATAAATTTAACCTAATAATGATCATAAAATCATGTATTCACAATAACCTACATTTCGTTTTCTTGCATAAATATATAACATGGATCTTCTTCACACGCAAAAGCACGACACTCAGTCTAGTGATGTTGCTGAGTTTGTTCTAACACGCAGGATAAATAATTTATGAGAAATTATTTCATGGAACCTTCTCATCAAAAAATATTTTTAGACCCTTCCCATTATATATTAACGGCCCTAACTAATTAAAAAAATCCACATCAATATTCTATTACTTAAGTTAAATCTTGAGTTTGAAATTTTGTGTATGAAAAATTCATCGTTGAGAAATTCACCTATCAAAATCAGATATACGATACAAATTGATTCGGATTAATCAAGACAAAGCCCTGAGAAACAAGGAGGACAATCAAGAAAAAGCCACTTAAGTTTGTATAGATACGGAGAAGCAATCTTTCTACTGCAATTCTGGTTGCATGTTTAGAGCACTTAAAATTCGTTTTGCTTCTTTATATTGACTCATTAACCCATTCCGATCATAATCTAAATTTGTAAACGATAAGAATAAATAAAGAAGTATATTCAATGTTTAATTATTTTGAACCAATTATTTAATCTTTACTGGATATCACAACGTAATGAAGGTTATAATCAACTTTGATATGCATTGTTGTAGAATAAAAAGAATTAGGAAGATCCCAAAAATAATCTTTAAATTGATTTTAATTGTGATATGTATTAATGAAGAAATTGATGTTGGCGAATAAAGTCTATGTGAATAAAAGACATAAAAAAATATTAATACGAATATTTTAATTGACTGAAATCATTATGATGTAGTGGAAAGGATCAAATAAAATAATTTCTAGAAAATGAGGGACTCTAACAGTACTTAAGTTTCGTTACTATTGTTTTTCATTAATTTTTTGATGGTCAAATATTTTAAATTTTGATAATAATTGTTTTAATAATTAAATTTTATAATATATATACAAATTATTTGATTAAAGTTTTAAAATATATTTTATTATTAATAAACTTTAAATATTTAAATATGAAAAATTAAAAAATTAACTAAAATTAATAAATAATAATAATTGCATGCCAGCGAAACTTTAAAATAATAATAACCGATATGCATACCAATAATTGAATACGGAAGGCTTCTTTTGGTGCTTGTGGTCTCCCGCTCGTTGGAATTAGATATATGCACATAAATTCTATTACAGTAATTAAAATATTTCATGTTAAACTTACGAGTTAGTCTTTAAATTCTAAATTTTTTTTTTTTTTAACAATATGTGATTTTTATGGAAAGAAAATTGCTATAAAAGATCATCTCATGATTCATTAAAATAGTAATGCAAAGAAAGGAAGGAATGATTTCATGATTTATTAATGCAATAAACCTAAAGATTGATATATGGATATATCAACTTCTACAACTCTTATGGAGTCTATAATCAATTTTCCTTTCTATATATAGAAGAAATAATTATTTTTTTAAAATATTTCACGACTCAGCGGTCTTCGTAATAGAAGAGACATTTGGCGATAAGCCTGTGCTTGCTTGGAAAATCATCATAAATGATTAAGGTGTGTCGTTCACGATACATAAAATATTCAACCAAAATTGCTTGTATAAGGAGCGAGGTATTGTAATGTAGCTGGGGAATCCGTCGTTTCGGCTACCACAATAGTGTACTCCATCGCTCCCTTTTTTTGGAAAGTAGTCACTACTTGAGCCACAAAAGATGCTTTTTGACCAATAGCTAAAAAAACATATTACATTTTGCCCTTACTGATTGAGAATGGTATCCGTGGCTACTGTTGTTTTACTAATATGTCTATCCCCAATAATTAATTCTCGTTGTCCACGTCCTATAGGGATCGAATCAATAGCAATAAGTCTCGTTTGAAGAGGCTCATAAACGGATCTAGAAATAATACCGAGGCATGAGATTCAATTAACCGAGATTTAGAAGCTGAAATTCACCCTGACCGTCAATAGGCTTAGCCAGGGCATTTATAACATGACCAAATAAGCTTCACTCACTGGTATATGAGCAATTTTTCCAGTTGCTTTTACAGAACTTCCCTCTTGTATCATCAAACCGTCACCCATTAATACAACACCAACATTATTGATTCCAAATTCAGGGCAATCCCTTGTACCTTCTTTAAATTCTACTAATCACCTGCCATTACTTCATCAAGACCATGAATACGATGTTTATAACTTTTTGGCCACTTATGTTATCGATTTATAACATTTGAGTCACTGAGATTTTAAATGTAGTTAGTTTGATAACATATCACGTTAGTAAAAGGGTTAATTTATAGCATGACCCTAAACTTTAGATAAATACTAATTTGACTCCTAAACTTCAAATAAATTATCAATTTAACCTATAAATCCGTTCAAATTCCCCCTTCATTGGCCATTGCTCACTACTATCATCTATCACTACCGACTGTCGTCGTCGACGACCGTTAGATCCCAAAATTTGTAATTACTCATTTTAGTCTCATGAATGTGAATATAATGTTTGTTTCCTCGAAAGATGTCCCTAATTCCATAAATCTACCATAGAATCCTTGACGTCCTTAAAATTAAACATAATAAATTTATCATTAATATTATTTTAAAAATAAAGACACAAAATTAAAATCAATATTATAATCAAATTTATCGATGACTTATGATTGTCACAGCATGTCACAACATTGTTAAATATTAGATGAAATATTTTATTCATTAGAAATATTAGATTTTAGAGAGTTATAATCAAGTCACTCAATTTATTGTAACAATCAAGTCACTTAATTAATTGTAACAATAAGGTAATGTGCCACCATGTACAGTGGTCAAGTCACTCAATTCATCATATTATGTTTTTGACAATATCTCTCAAAAGTTATTAAATTACACCATGACTTTCAAATTTCCTAAACATCAATCTACATTGTTCACAATAAAATTGTCTGTTTTTATATATGTTATTCCTCGCACTAATGACAACCTCTTCACTATTTGGATCATCAATGGATCTCCCAATATTTGAGAAACCCAAAAGACAAAAAGGATTCTTTCCCAATGACTGACTTTTTGAAATTGGATGATCTATCTAACTCCTTGGTGACTTTTTGAAATTAGGTGACCTATATAATTTTACTAATAATTAGATATACTTTTGTGTAGTTTACTCAATAAGAAAATTAAAAAAAAAAACAAATGTTTTCTAATGGCGCCATCTAACTTTTGTTTCATTTTTAACGGTCTAGTGACCTAGTGACCATTGATTAATTGAATGAATCGGTTATAATTTTTAAATTATAAGGCTTATTTGTAATCTTATTAATAGTTAAGTGACCTTTTATAAAATTTACCCAAATATTTTGTACGTGTTTTCGCTTTTGCACATGTTGTGCCCGTCTAGAATCATTGTTCAGTTCAAAACATATAATGATAAAAACTAATCTCCAATATTTTCATAAATGATCATTTTAATTCATATATTTTTTGGAATATTTTAATTCAATGTTTCAATTTTTAATTAAAATAGTCAAATTTAAAAAAATTTGTTAGTTGACTAATAGTCAATACATGTTACTGGCTTGATATTTTAATATATACCTAATTAGTAACATATTATATATAATGTCATCATTTTAATTATGTGTCGCATATACTTCATCAGTTTGAATGACGAAACACATGTAACTTCAACAATTGAATACATGTGAAATATCTACAACATATGTTGACCGTTCAAATAAAAATTTCATCCAACATGAATTGTTTTGACCAAAAATTGAAACGTTGAACTGAAATATTAAAAAAAATCAAAATCACTATTTTGAGATCATGTATGGGTGGAAAGATAACTCCTCAGGATCAATCAGGATATGCATTTTGGCGTTTTCACACACTAAAAAAATACGAGGAAGTCTAAGAACGATAGTCTAATTTAAGGTTAAAAGACGACGATTGAACGCAACTGAAAATGTGATAAAAAAATCATAGCATTTTAGGTTAGACGCAACTTAAAATGTTATATTTTTCTTAATTTTTCGTTCAACAAATGTTACATTTTTCATAACAATTTCAGTTGACAACTGAAAATATTAACTTTTTCCATGACATTTAGGTTCAATAAGTAAAAATGTAATATTTTAAATTACGTTCAATCTAAAATATTTTATTTTTTATCACATTTTTAATTGTACCTTAAAATGTCGTATTTTAACCTGTCACATTAAAAACAAGAATCACTTCAAGCATGAAACATCAAATCAAACCTCTATAAGAGCACAATCCAATAGTGGTGTAATACCCTAATTTTGTCGGGCCTTTTAAATCCATTTGAAGATGCCCGATAATTAATTTGGAGGTAATCGTGCTCAGATGAAGAATCAATTCAAATGACGAAGCGTGAAAGTTTGCGTTTGGAAGCTTTAGGTGCTCAATTGGGATTAGTCGTATATGGAAATCGAGACACATATTGAAGTTCAATACAAATTAAGTGTCTAAAGTCCATTTACCTA